AAAAAAAAAAAACACATCACTGTAAAATCAATACATTCATTACTTCGTTCAGAATCTAATGCCTTGTTTACACGTGACGAGTACTCGGCCGAGCACTGTCCAGTGTGAACCCAAGGAACCAGTACTCGGCCTAGTAATCGGACGAGTAAAATAAGCGGGCGAGTGAATAGAAACAGTTTATATTCGGTGGGCCGAGTGAGACTACCGAGACCGAGCATCATAACGAGTGACACGGYCGAGTAGGTACTCGTCAGTCGTCACGTGTAAACAAGGCATAAAAGTGGTCGCTACTATGTGGACCAAACAAGTACAACCAGGGAGGATATGCGGTATGTCTAAACTGTAAGCATTGAACAGAAGAACGAACGCTTGGCTAAACATCGAAAAATACGTTGAAGATGGTTAAAAATATTGGCATTTTGGTGAACTTAAATTGTACGTCGACAACGCAGGTTAGAATGAAGTTATCGTCTCTGCTGACCATAGACAAGTATAYTATAACTGCTGACGATACGTTTGAATCGAATTGCGGAAAAAAAATCCCCAGTAGTACCGTACTATTAGGTATGTTATAAATTATATAATATAAGTAAWATTAATATTGTATATTATTTTAAAAGTTGTCATTTTATAAAAAATTGGTAATATAAATATATATTGTATATTAGGTACCGTAAAAAGTAATGTAATTATAATATTACCTAGTCATTACAGGCTACACTGCTACAGTGCTTTCTGATGTTATGAGCAATCGCTTTTAGGAAGTCTTCAACATTTATTTCATCATTTTGGATTCGTGTACATAGTTCTTTCAATCTTTTTTCGGTCGAACCATGGGCACAAAAAATTTTACAATATCCCAAAATACTTTTCTGAGAATAAGGTATCTATAGTTTGATTACTCCGTGTGAGAAGATTAAAGTTGAAGGTAATATAAGATTTATCGTTGGATACAGTGTTGAGATTATATTAGTGTGATAAATCAAGTCAAATGATACTTTGACTTTTATGTGACCATAGATATTTTAAATTAAATAAAATCCCCACCTGGGCAAGATGAAAATTATTTATATACTAATATGTAATAATAGTTATAGCGATATAGATATTGTTAAAGTAAATGCATCACATGAACCTAATGTAGTAATGTTCCATACTTTCATCAATTATTATAACCTTAGTCTGAGTAAACGAGTAAACCTATTATAGGGAGCGAATAATATTTACTAATCGTATACGAAGTGGCAAGGTTGTGTGGATTTTTGTTCACACAATAATATTTAAAACATTGATTTTCAGTTTCAAAGGTAAAGTCGTGTTGAACCAACATGGCACGATTTAAAATAACTTTATACAAATAATTCTATTTTTGTATATGCGAACCATGCAAACCTAACACGTCCCTAACAGAATATCTTAAATTGTRCAAATGAACTGCGCAGTTATTCCTCAAAGCCAAATATTTTTCGGCTACACTGTAAGCATCTGTTTATTATTTGCAACGCCATTATCAATGCGTTGTAATCAATTAACCCCGAGTCCATATTACAACAGTACAACTTTACTACTACTACGACTTCCGTCTTACTAGTTACCGTATTAGATCAAATAATTTATGCTGTAGTCCGTAATCTGTAGCATTGAAATGTTTTAATTTCSATTGTAATTAGTAATTTTGTGGCTACTAGCAAGGTACYAAGTAGTTTTCAATACACAATTTTGATGTTTTATACATTTTAATTAATTAATAATTGTATTAATAATCTACATATTGTAATATTATGTTTTATAATGYCGATTATCTATGTGTCATCGTATGACAATAATTATACTCTTATAAATGAAGAATAGATTTCCTAAAATTTGGACTTTCTAACTATTTGACAATATTCATATTAAATGGCTCAAGAAGTAGTTTACGGAACTCAAGACGACACCCATGTCGTTATGTCTGAAAAAGTACAGTCACTAGCTGGTAGTATTTATCAGGAATTCGAAAAAATGATWTCCAAATATGATGAAGAAGTTGTGAAAAACTTGATGCCACTGGTTGTTAACGTGTTAGAATGTTTGGATCTTTCCCATACAGAAAATCAAGAACATGAGGTAGAAGTTGAACTACTTMGAGAAGACAACGAACAATTAGTTACTCAATATGAGAGAGAAAAACAACTACGAAAATCTGCAGAACAGGTACCTATGCATAAGTTATATTATTAGAGTTTTATTTAAGTGCACAAATATGTAAAGATTTCATTCAAYTTTTATGAGAATAAGAATTCATTYCAACAGATAATGTATTTATTTCATTATTCAATATTTTATTCATACCTATAAATTAATTCCTAACTAATACAATGTAATTACAAATTGCTGTTTGGCTCAGATTTCATAGCAATTGAATGAATAAACGCTTGATTGGATACATAGTTAAATTAACATTATACATGATAATAGTAATAGTGATCTATGACCTTTTTGAAGGATAGCAAAATATTTTTCTTTTAGAATATTGTATATATATATAATGACTAGGCTATTTGATATTGACAAATGTAAAGTTGTCATTTATTGATTTTTTTATACAACTAACATATATTAGACAAATTTAATAATATATTCAATTATACACTAATTGATGTACCTAGCCTTTGAATAGTTCTATTATTCATATAATATAATTTTTATAGTAACATAAATTGTCGTCAAATCTTTAAAAAAATTTTTCTTGAAGTTTGGTTAATTTTATAAGTACTATTATAGTACTTACAATTATAACTTAAAACAGCTATTATATCCTCCAAACCATACATGAAAGCTTGATTCTTTCCTTTTAAGTTCTATCTATGTTAACAATTTTTGCCCTGTAGAATTTAATACACCTAAATATTTGTGGATCCATCATTTCATTAATTTCAAGTATACCTAATTGTATAAACATAACACATATATAATATCTTTAGTAATATGTAGCTTCTATTTATAACATCTTAAGTGGGTACTGGTTAGTACTAACTAACAGGCTATTATGTATGTGCTAAGGTGTTTAAAAWTGATATTAATGTAAGAAATAATGTTTTTTTCTTTTTTTAGGTAAGATTAATATAGGATAATTTTAATTTGTTCACCCACTGTGTACCTGAAAAACTAAGAAAACTAAGAAAAATATTAATTATCAACCCTTTTTTTTTTAGAAACTTCTTGAAATGGAAGACTATATTGAAGATGAGAAAAAAGATTATCAAAGTAAAATAGAGAGTTTAGAATCAATTGTTAKAATGTTAGAATTAAAATCAAAAAATGCTTCAGACCACGGTAAGTTCTTGACTCAATATTGGTATTTTAACATTTTAGATAGTAAGTATTAATAAACATACATTTATACATAAACTATTGTGTGTACTTTGTAGTTTTACTTAGAATTCATGATTTTGTTATAAATACATTTTTAATATGCCATGGACAATTTGGTAATCATAGTAATATACATTACTAATGAAGTTTTTATCGGTATCTTATTTAATGTATCAGTTATCTAAAGTTAAACCATACATTTTATTATTTATAGCTTTTATGTCTCATTTTAATAAACTACAATATTAATACATTTTTGATTTGTTTTGAAAATTATTTAATCATCTTAAATTATTATTACTATTGGTGTTCATAAATTAAA